CCAAGAAATAAATTATTCAAATTAAATAAAAATTGCTAAATTACCAATTATGCTTAGTACTGGTATATTACTACCAAGTTTACCAAAATTTAGTTGTGAAGCTAAGTAAGAGTTAAAATTGGTATTTAAAAATATGCAGCAAAAAAAGATCACACTTTCTTGTATTGTTTACTTTGGTGAATTACTAAAATAGTTGAAATGTATTCAAAGAAGCGTAATTGGTGCATGCAAATAAATACTGTCAGCAAAATCTGCACAATTTAATTCCATCCCTGAAAGAATAATTTATTTTGTAATTACTTTTTTCTATAAAAATTGCAATGCGATGAGTATCGATAATCATAGTAAACACATACTTTACAGGTAAAAAATTATGCCCAAAAACTTTTTAGAAAATTAGTAAAACAAACAAAGAGCAGCTAAACCACCTGAAGTTAGTCTGTACTAATTTTTGATGCTAATTTTACTGTGAACAGCAGCGACTGTATGATACTGACCTTTTCAAATTTGGTTATAACTGACGACTGTTTTACTGTAGCTGAAAACTGTGAGATCATGAGTCACGTTTGTGGTATTATGACTTGAGACTGCTACTAAAAGCCGTAATATCCGGACTATCCGGACTATGAAAGTTAATAGTAGGCGAAATTCGAAAATAGGAAACAACTTTTATTTATTAAATAACAGGTTCTTAATATTTTTCATTCTTTTGTGCTCAAAATCCTCTTTATCAAAGTGATATAAAGGCGACATTTACAGTATTAATAAAATAGCATTTACAGTGGCTGCACATGATGTCATTACTGATCTTTCATAGATGACGTCGTATTCTTGATGTGTTACTTGACAGTATTACTGAATCTCAATGAAAAAGTTTGAAAACCTCATAAAATTTACAAAAATCAGACATTTAAGTTGTAATTTTAAAATGCTTTCCTTTAATTAACAAATTTATATTGCACTACATCCTAATTAGTCATTTCATACAAGTCGTGTCGTACAAGTCTTGATAATTTTTGCTGTTGAAGACTGCTATTGCTATCAAAGATCAAAAATAAAAATGGGGATTTCATTAAATTTGCAAAAATTACATAATTGGTTTGTAATTTTAAAATGCCGTTTTAATTTAATTAACAAAAAAGAAGCAAGAAGCAAAGGATATTAATTTTGCGAAATTTGGTTTTCCCTTTTGGCTTAGAATATGGTATTGTTTGGATAAATTTATGCAAATTGCTGAAGTTTGATCTCTTTTCTGACATGAAAACTTTTTCATTTATTTTGAACAGAAAGAAATTTTTTTGATTGCTAAAGTCACTCGAAGATGCCGAAGCTGGCAGTACACACGCACGCCACACACATACACACACACACACACACACACATACGCTTTCATATTTTTGTTTGAATGTACAATAAGTGATGAAGAGATTTTCTTTTTAAAAAGGGTAAAAGAATGGGCGATGTTGTGCCAGTCACCGAAAAGGCCTAAAAATGGTCGAGAACGGTGAGGTAAGGCATTGTGTCCCTGACAAGGTCCATTTTCCCTTTCAAGCTTGGTTTCTATGCAATCAGGCCTTATTCAGGCTATTACCTTTCTTGGTACTAAGCGTATGCCATTTAATGACCATATTACAGCTGGAAGGTACAAAAGTTAATTCGATATCAGCTAAAGTTCACACTAACTCTTTAATTATAAATAGTAATACCAATTGATGTCCTTTTATGCTTATTAATTTTACAGCACAATTAAATTTGTGGCATATTTAAAGTAATATTTTCAGGTAACGATATTTTGAATCAATTATACCCTGATATTATAATATTCAATAAATTGTACTTCTATTCACATCGACAATTAAGTACTTGATTTTTTCAGCAGTAATAGAAATTACTGATTGTAGAAAAATAAAAACTGTAAGTAATTAATTAGTGCATTCAACAAAGTATTAAAAAAACGCTTAATTTTATAATATAAGTTTTATCCAAATTAGTAAATTTGATTGATAATTTATAAGAGCGAAACTTATTATGCATGATGTTTACTGTAAATTTCTTTTACTTATCGATTCCACACCTGAGAATAAATCTCACAGCAAATTGATAAATAAGATATGGTATATGCAGACTGCTTTCTTGCAATTCTGAGAACAAAAAAAGATTACTGAACAAATAGAAAATTCCTCAAAATGTACTCTGGAAATAAACTAGAACCTGCGGAACTTTGCAGTTTCGAATATTATAATCGGATTTGATGAAATTTACATTTATTAGAAACATGTCCTAGATAGCAAATACAAAATCAGTGGGTTTTAAGCTCCCAGCCAGTTAACTTATTCTTAATTAGTATGCATATTTTTCATATGATATGATACTTCTGACACCGCAATGACCTAAAAAATTAACATTGCACACTGTTATGTATGTCAGTTCACTCAAAGGTTTGAGAAAGTTCTTACTCGAATTATAAGTCTTCTCTTGGAATATAACACTACTTTAGTACTAATTCAAATAGCTAGTTTAAAATGAAATCAATTATGCATATTCGTAGTGAAATAATATTACGATACCAAGATGAGTATTAATTGATTATAGGAGATGCTTCTAGCAAGTTTACCTCAGTTAACTTTGATTACAACAGAGAATGAAAGCAAAGTCAGTCAGATCATGTTATGACTAAAAACAAACAATATTTTGATTAGAATTTGATTTTAGTCGAATTTCAATCTTGAAACTTTTGATTTCTGACAACTGAAAGCATAAAATTTTGGAGCAGACAAAACTGAGCACAGAGAGCTCTAATTTAATTTCAGGCTGCTGGAGAAAAAGAATTTCAAAGATTGTTCAAGTTTACATATACATTTGATATACAAATATATGACTTAGACAATAATTTTTCGTATTAATTTGAGTATTACAAAGGAAAAAGTTATGAAAACTGTAATACAAGTGTTTTCCGAAAATATTAGTTTCGTTTGAAGCAAAATTTGTTCGTCTTGTAGGAAATATTTGTAAACTGCAAAAATAAGCCTAAATCAAGATTCTCGACAAAGCATATGAATTCAATTTGAATTTAAAATAGCAATAAAAGCAGCAATTCATATTCAAATATAAGGCAAAGAAAATCATAAATTGCGTTTGGGTCAGTCAATGCTTAAATGAAATTTTGAAGTTTAAAAAAGCTAGAGTAGAAATAATCAAAGTAATATTCAAAATTACTGAAAGATGGAATGACATTTCCTTTCTCGACTTATTTTGAACTGTGGAGAAGTAGGAAAAACGAAATACAAAGTAAAGATGCAAGCTTAAGTAAAAGTTTTCAAAAATGTCTTAGTGAATATTTCGTTCAAATACAATCAAAAAATGTTGTAGAAAATTCTCGTGCACCAAACTGCATTTTTGCGCACTTTGATGTGTGAGATTAGACCAATAATTGAACTTTACTTCTATTGACCATTTTTAATGTTCATCAGATGATGTGATAGAAGATTTAACTTTGTCCAAGATTTGAAATTTCAACTTTTGCAAGCTTTACAGCTGATTCTCAATGAGAAGATGTGTAGTTATGAACAGGAAGGTACCAGTCAGCTGTTATCGAATTTCGAACTTTTCAGTTTCTTCCCACATTGACCACTAGCAGTAAATGACCTCTAGTGCTCAATGATCATTGCATAATTAATTCCTGACCGATAAAAGGACAGAAAAAATCTAAAATGTATTTTTATCTTTTGAGAAAGGTCATTAATGTTTATCATAATTTCCAAAATATAAAAGTAAAAACATAACTTGCACAATAAATTTGCATGCGTAAATAAAATTATTAATCGCATCAAAAATACTTGAATATTAAGGATTTTATTCAAGAAAATATAAAAATTAAAACTAAACCATTTTACATTTTTTCACTTCAAGAATGCTCTGCAATTTTTATTCAGTTTATTTTAAATCTAATATTGCTTTTTTCTCTCAGAACTGTAAGTCAGAAAACTTAAAATCCCGAGCATACTCAGTTATAATTAGTTAAAATAAAAATAAACTCAGCTGAATGCAATCAGAACAAATGCGTTTCTTATTCCATTTGCAGTTTTAAATGATGCATTTATTTGTTGATTTTAATATTCCATTAATTTAATCTTCCTGTTTAATTCAAAAATTTCACATTTCAGTCAGCAAAATAAAACTGGTGCACCGAATATTGCTAACCTTTTATGTAAGTTTTATTGAATTATGTGTGCTTGGAAAGGATAACATTTTTAGTGACGTGACGCTAACAAAAATTATTTTAAATATTTTTATTCTATGTTATTTATATTTATGCATTGCTTCCATTTTTCAATTTTATTTTCATTCTTATACGTGTGTATTGGTGGTTAGCAAACAAATACTAGTAGCTCAGAGGTGAGAATTTTGCTAATTGTGGACGAAACTTATAAAATTTCTATTTTTCACACACATACACAGTCATAGATTATAGAAGTGCTATACTGACCATCAGCGGAATTATTTACATTCTGGGCAGCTGTTTGAATTTAAAATTCAAAAGTGAACTAATAATATAATCGAAAAGAGTTTACTCAATACCAACGAGAGTATATGGCAACATTCAACGACTAAATTACTATATGTGATCATTAAAAATTAAACAAACGCATTATATAATTACTGACTTAATTTAAAAATTTTTTTAAAAGCCAAATAATGGTAATTTTTCAGAAATTAGTTCAAAAATACTTAAGAATTTAAATTCCATAAAATGATTTAAAACTAAAATTCGATACGATTAACTAAGTTCTTATTTGATAATTAGCCTTAATTTTGACTTGATTCAGGTGGAGATTGCAAAATAGATGGGTTATGAGTTTAAAAGGAACAAATTGTATACAATCCATTTTTTGTTTTTAAATAAATAAATAAATAAATAAATAAATGAATTAGAGCACAGAATGCATTTATGTGCGCTGTGTTATTTTCTTCACTTCTACGAAGGATGGATAGATGGATAGATGGATAGATGGATGGATGGATGGATGGATGGATTGGATTGGATGGATGGATGGATGGATGGACTGGATGGATGGATGGATGGATGGACTGGATGGATGGATGGACTGGATGGATGGATTGGATGGATGGATGGATGGATGGATTGGATGGATGGATTGGATGGATGGATGGATTGGATGGATGGATTGGATGGATGGACTGGATGGATGGATGGATTGGATGGATGGATTGGATGGATGGATTGGATGGATTGGATGGACTTGGATGGATGGATGGATAGATTGGATGGATGGATTGGATGGATGGATGAATTGCAAGCTCAGCAGCACTGCTTTTATTTCTATTTCGAGAATAGCACAGAACTGGTGACTGATTAGATTTGCATTTGAAATCAATTAGTTATTTAGTTAGTTAATTAGTTATTTAGTTATTCAGTTAGTTATTCCATCTCTTCCATCCATTTTATTTCTTTTCAATTAACAGCTTTTGCTGACAACAATGCATAATATTTTGGCTTCCGAAAATCGATCAGTAAAATTCAATAAACTTAATGGAAACGGTGAAAAATGACTCTCAAATGTTACCATCGATGAACAGAGACGAAAACAAAGCGAAAATTAATCAGACAATCAACAATCAAAGTTGTGTATTTTTGGAGTCATTAAAATTTCTTCACTACGCTTATAAAAACCTGCAGCACTTATCAATGATTTGATAAATTTGAACTCTTTCAGCTCGAAAGTTTTTGAAGTCAACGTAAATGCTAAAGCACAGTCTATGTGAAGAGAACTTAGAAAGCGAGAAACAAACTTAACTCAAAAAATATGAATTAAAAAGTACTAGCAGGTGGGATTGAAGAAATACTTCAACATTTTCAACTATGCCTCTGAGCTAGCAGCACCAGCTACACTCTTAACTATTCCAAAAGTCCACCAGAAAGATTTCCTCAATTCATCTTATTCTTAGATTCTTTTTTCTCCAAAATATTTCTATTCTATACATGTCAGTCTTCTCTGTACAATTATTTTACTTTTATATCTATTCTCATTCTTGTTAATTTTTAGCTCTCTGTTTTATGCATTCTTCTTTCATTCACTTTCATTATGGGTAAGATGATGATTATGCAAAGCTAAATTTTTAAATACAAATAATTAAATAATGAATCAAAATTTATTTTTGAATAATATGGATGGAAACAGAATCAAGTTTGCTGCCAAACTATTCAAAAATTTCACTTCCTTCACACTTTATCTCCAAACAAGTTACAAAATTAAATATCTTCGTGACAGTTATCACATTGCAAGCAACATGAGGGCTTTATTTCATGCAAAAATTATGTTTAAAATTCGCTACAATTCTCAGCATTATTTTATTACAATAATATATTATTGTAGTTATGATACAATAATAGTTTTTAATATTTGAGCTAAAGTGAGAAGCGAATGATGAGGGTTCAAAAGATTGAGAAGAATAAGCAAGGAGTGTGCAAAAAGAGAGAGATGAACTTGGGACGGTTACAACTAACAAGAAGAAGCACGTTATTTAAGGGAGGACAGGTGTACTCCAAGCTTTTTCCGATTTCACGGCTGCTTATTTACTTTAGAAACATTAAAAATCATAAAAATAACAAAGTTATTTTGAAAAAATTAATCATTGAAATAATAAAAAGGAAATGAGCACAAGTATCATATTAATTACAGTACTAATGGACTCTGATAAAAATAATAATTATCATAGTTTCATAGAGAGTAGAAATTAGGATAAAAATGCAAAAGTATAATAGGATTGCAATCCGTTTGATACATTATTATTTGTAATTAATATTCTGATGAAAAATTAATAGCAGAAATAGAACGTAGAAATAGAAACATCAAAATAGAAACTCAGAAGTGGCACTGTTGCGCACAATACCAAAATGATAAAGTTTTGAAAAAAAATTGAAAATGCGCTACAACTGAAATGACGGCAGCACATTGAGTGCGCGGAAATAAATATAAATTAATGAGTGCTATAAATGAGCTGAAATTTATTCGTCTGTAAATTCATTTATTTGATCATAGATGTCTTGGCTAATTAATTATGAGTGCCGAGCAGTGTACTGGCCTTAAAATGATTGAATTAGCTGAAAAGAGACAAGACATGAATTTGAGGAGAAATTTTCGCTAAATATGAAGCTTGTCTTCACACACCGAATTAATGCAATAACGAGAGGCAAGTTTCAACTACTTGAACAAAAACTTATGTGAAATTAGAAATTGCTAAAGGCAGAGTTTGTACTGCTATGAATAAATAGAAATAAATATAACCTCATATCGGCAATGATCTTTTTAAGGTATTAAAGAGTGACCAAAACTGTGTTTCCAACCAAAACTGTGTTTCCAACAATATATGTCTATTGACATTTCTAACAGTATGCACTGTTTTGCTAACGTGAAAATAGATCATTTCTAAAAGACATCAACAAGTTGCATAAGTCAAACAGAATGAGCCAAAAACCTTTCACGTTCCTCACGTGTCTATTAATTACCATCATACAGAGTGCATTTTTCCTGAATTTTGAAATCAACATGAATAGCTCAATAATTTTATTCACACAAATAACGTATTGATCTTGAATTCTGCTGTATTTACACTTGGTTTTCAATTTAATGAGATGAAAAGTTGGAGTGAATTTGAATTTATAATAAATGTTAAAGACAAATATGACGCCATCCCTCATCATACTGTCAAAAATTCACGTATGCAAGCTTGTTTTCGTCTGTCAAGTCTGCATTGAACAAGTGGTGCATTAAAGCAGAAAATAAATAAATGAGTGAAAAAAGTTTGCAAAATGAGTTGCAAATGTGAATGGGCCGAAAAGTGAACAATGCATATATAAACTAAAGTGAGGAGCGAATGATGAAGTTAGAAAAGATTGAGAAGAATGACCAAAGAGTGTGCAAAAAGAGAGAGATGGACTTGCGACGATTCAACTCAGAAGCACATTTATTGAGGGAGGACAGGTGTACTCCAAGCTTTTCCGATTTTACGGCTCTCATTGATTTGACTTAGTCAGTCTATTTTTCAAACCACAGACAACTTGATTTTAAGTTTTAGAGAATTTTCAACAAATGAACTTTAACTTGGAAAATGAATTTTAATGAACTCAGTTCAAAAAATAATTAATTTCTTGAATTCACATAACTGATGCAATTAATGTTATTGAGAATAATTCTTAGGTCACAAAGAGTTTCACGCATAAAATAACAACGGCTCAAGAAATTGGTAAATAATATGATCATTTTTGTAAAATAAAGCTAGAAAAAATAGTACTTGAAGCATACCAATGACTGATATATAAAAGATAAGAGTACTTTTCGTACTACAAAGTAAAATTTTTTTCTCTAGCAAGAAATAAATCTCAGGTTTTTTATTCGAAATAAATAGAACTTTAACCTCAGACGCGAGAAGCCAGAAAAAAGTTGAATAAAAATGATAGCTAATTTACAATGTTGCGAAGTTGTTGATATTCTGCTTCGAAAAAATTTACTCTGTAATATTAATGATTAGAATAATTAAAAAAATTTAAAGATATCCCAGTCTGAAGAAAAACGTTTGTTTGGTTAAATGGATTCAACTTTAAATTTATTTAATTGATTAAAATAGGAAATTTAATCAAAAATCGAAAAAAAATTGTTGATTTATCAGCTGTCATTTGATGCAAAAGATTTGAATAACATTTGAATGTTTGCTTAAATGACATCAAAGCTACTGTTGGACATAAACTTTGAACTTGATAGTTATGAAAAGTTTGAATAAAGATTGCTTGAAACGAAACAAATAGATTTCAAAGGCTCTAACGGTTGTGTTAGACTTTTTGACATTTTTTGAACCACACGACGTTGTGTAAAAGGTTAAATAACAAGGATCAAGTGTTATTTTTTGTTTGTACAACTGCAATCCCCCAAGGAAACAGAAGATTAAATTTGCTTCATCTTTTAATTCAATTAAAAATTGAAGAGCACTGGACTAGCAAGTGACGAAAATTATGACAGCATTGATTTCATTTTTGACATGTGTAAGGCATCTTAAATGTAACTATTATTAATTCTTTAAATCATAGAACTTGGTTAATGTAAATAAGTCACGCAACACGATACGAACTACTAATTAGAACAAGCAGATGAAAGCTGAAAATGAAGTATGAAAAGCATACCGATTACTAATGTACGTGTGGTCAATTAAACGCAAGAAACGTAGTTAACAGAAATCATCAATGTGCTCATCATAGTTAGAATACACTTATAATTATTTGCGATTTTAGGCACATATCATCAGTTCAGTTGAGCAAAAACTAGTTCGCATAAATCGCGTGACACAATGTAAATTTTTAGCTGAGTCAGTGGTGCTAAAACGTAATAAAAAATATATGCATATATTTTTACGTTGAATTTGACTTTTCACACAGCAACGTGAACAAAATCAAATTGAACGTAAAAAGCTACACAAATATGACATGAAAATACGCAAAAAAAAGCAAAAATAAGGAAATTTTAGAAAAAGTATTAAAAAATTGATAGATAGCTGGTTTTGCACGGGTTTAACGCATATAAAAACAGAACTGGATTCGCGCATTCTATTATTAACCTTTCAAATTAGTTGTAGATTATTTTCTTGTTATCGCTGTTGCAAAATTTCAAGTTTATTTTACAAAAAATAAAGTTTTAAATTTTAGTATAATAAATTGGAAGTTGAGATATGACAAAAAAAGTAAATAATTACTTTGCAATCAATGTTTAAAGTTGAATGCACAAATGATTAAGCAAAAATATGAAAAATATAAAAAAAATATCAAAAAAATTTCTATGGAAATTGTATTTTGATAATAAATAAGTAATTTTAAATGATTGCTAGTAAAGAATAATTATTTTGTAAAACTATTAAATGATATAGTTAAATGTTAGCAGAATTGCGCCTTAGCGCTAACGTTTCTGATAATGATGTAAAAAAAGCAGATTAAGCGAGCGAGCTGTGAAGGAAGTTGGCGCTTGCGCGAAACTTTTATTTTTTGCGGTGATCAACAATTACTGCAATATATTTGTAGAAAATGTAAGTAAGTAAGAAATATGTAAGTAAATGTGGAAAGGTAAGTAAGTAAGAAAGTAAGAAAGTAAGTAAGTAAGTAAGTAAGTAGTAAGTAATGCTTTGCTTTCTTGAAACATTCAACAAGGAAGTAGAATTTTGCATTTTCGCCCATTCCTTAGGCAGTTCTTTTCTCTCCTTCGCTCTTTAGCTACTCAAAATGTTTTCGTTTTGCCTTCTTTGCTTTTTGTTTCATCGATGAATTTGTCGAAGAGCAAAGAGCGTCCAGAAGAGGACGAAGTCTGCACGCTGAATT